GGGCCTGGCGCATGAAGTCGCAGTGGGCCTGCGCGTAGCCGTGCACGCAGCTGGTGAAGAGGCCCTGCGCCAGCCGCTGGAACTTGGGCAGCTCGTCCAGCAGCTGCGCGTTCAGCGCCTCGTAGTTGTTGCGCGCCGACTGCAGCTCCTCCAGCGTCTTCCGGTCCTTCAGCTTCTCCGCCCGCTCCGTGCAGTTGTAGAAGTCCAGGAGCTTGTCGAAGCGCTTCTGCACCAGCTTGTGGGGCCCCGTGAACATGCCCAGCAGCTGGTTTAGGGGCGAGATGACCAGCCGCTCCGTCCTCTCCTTCTGTGGGGCGAGAAGGGCACGGGCTCAGGAGCACGCGGGTGTGTCTCCAAAACACGTTGCTTTTTGGTGAGCGGGAGTCTCCCTCTGCTGCCCAGGCTGGAGGGCAGGGCCACGCTCCCGGCCACCACAGCCTCGACCTGCTGGGCTCGGGAGATCCTTCCGCCGCAGCCTTCCAAGTAGCTGCAACTGCAGGTGCCTGCTACCAAGCTCAGCTAATTTTTTGACTTATTGTAGAGACAAGATTTTACCATGTTGCCCAGGCCGGTCTCGAACCCCTAGACTCTGGCAATCCTCTCGCTTCCACCTCCCAAAGTGCTGGGATTACAGGCGTGAGCCATCACACCTGGCTGAAACGCTTTTTAAAATTATTTCTTTTTCCAGAGACAGGGTCTTGCTCTGTCCCCCAGGCTAGAGGGCAGTGGTGCCGTCATAGCTCACTGTAGTCTTTGGCTCCTGGGCTCAAACGATCCTCCCACCTCAGCCTCTGAGCAGCGAGACTGCAGGTGTGCATGACCGCATCCAGTTAATTTTTTAAAAATTGTTTTGTAGAGACAAGGTCTTGTTATGCTCCCCAGGCTGGTCTCAAAATCCCGGCTTCAAGCGATCTTCCTGCCTCAATCTCCAACCATGTCAGCTAGTTCATCCCTTCCTTCCTTCCACTTCAGGTGCAGCCGTATCAGCTCATTCATTCACTTCCTTCCTTCCTTCTACTTGAGGTGCAGACATGACTGCTCCTTCCTTCCTCAAGATCTCGCTATGCTAGGATGGTCAGGAACTCCTGGCTTCAAGAGATCCTCCAGCCTCGGCCTCCCCAAGTGTTGGGGTTATAGGCATAAGCCACCACACCCAACCCCCCAAACCCCAAAGGCTGGTTCTTCGTGTCCTAAGGTGCCTCTGTGCTCCTGGCGCACAAGCTCTCCCTGCGCAGACCCACACGGGCTTCTCTAGACCCAGCACACGCCTCCACTCACACACTACACGAACTTCATCGACACTTCATCAGTCCACACCGGGGAGTTTGCAAAACACGCCAAGCCCACGTTTGCTCCTTGGTTGACAAACGCTAACTGCACGTTGGTGTGATGTGTGCAGGTCATATGTGACAGTCTCTCTGGTGACACGTATGTGTCTACATAGCTTGAATTTAATGCCAGATTTAGTTGTTGCATCAATCTGGGGTACAGTGACTTTCTTTTTTTTTTTTTTATTTTTTTGAGTTGGAGTCTCACTCTGTTGCCCAGACTGGAGTGTAGCGGCCACTCCCGGCCACCGCAGCCTCGACCTGCTGGGCTCCGGCGATCCTTCCGCCTCCGCCTTCCGAGTAGCCGGAATTACAGGCGTACGCTACCACGCCCGGCTGATTTTTTTTGATTTATTGTAGAGATGAGGTCTCGCTGCCCAGGCGGGTCTCGAACCCACGGGCTCAGGCAGTCTACTCACCTCAGCCTCCCAAAGGCGCGGGATGACAGGCTGAGCCGCCGAGCCTGGCTTACAGTGACTTTCATCCATAATACCGTTTCTAATCTCAACTACCTGGTAATACCTGTTTTTTCACTTTTAGAGACGAGGTCTTGTCATGTTGCTGCCTGGTCTCGAATTCCTGGGCTCAAGCGATCCTCCTGCCTCGGCCTCCCAAGACACTGAGATGAGAAGCACGAGCCACCATGCCCGGACTGTTTTCACTTTTCTTTCTTTCTTTTTCTTTTTTAAGTAGGAGTCTCACTCTGCCGCCCGGGCTGGAATGCAGTGGCACTCTCATGGCCACCTCAGCCTCGACCTGCTGGGCTCAAGTGATCCTTCTGTCTCAGTCTTCCAAGTAGCTGGAACCACAGGCATGTGCTACCACGTTCAGTTATTTTTTTTTTCACTTTTCAAAGAATTTTTCTCCTTAATTCTTTCTAGAAGGACAGATATTGAGGGTAGGGTATTGAGCACATAAAGAACAGAATCAGGTACCTAGTAGCATCTTGCTAAAAATATTTTACCGTCAGAACACCTATGCACCACATGTACATGCCTCTTCAGCTTCCAGCCATCAAGAGAATGCTAAGAAACTGGCAAACCCCATCCATTTCTCTCTACTGGCAATCAAGCAATCTGGAATGTTCCTGTTTAGAATTTCCCAAGCAACATGGTCCTTATCGCTGTCTTTAGAAGGTATTTTGGACCATCTCGAAGATCCAGCTGGTCGTGTCCTAACTATATTCCTGAACATTCCTCTTCAAGTTATTACCCCCACAAATTTTTTCTGTGATCAGAGTTATCAACAGTGATGCCAGACGAAATTTCCTTGTTCTTTGTTGTCCTCTGAGACGGAACTGATCACAGTCATTTAAAAAATCCATTTGCAGGCTGGGCACAGTGGCTCACGCCTGTGATCCAGCACTTTGGGAGGCTGGGGCAGGAGGATTGCTTAAGGCCAGGAATTCGAGACCAGCCTGAATACAGCAAGACTATCTCTGCAAAAAAATTTAAAACTTTGCCAGTGTGGTGACGTGTGCCTGTAGTCCCAGCTACTCGGGAGGCTGAGGTGGAAGGATCGCCTGAGCCTAGGAGATCAAGGCTGTGGTGAGCCGTGCTCATGCCACTGCACTCCAGCCTGGCCCACAGAGTGAGACCCCAACTCAAAACAAACAAACAAAACACTTGGATATACACAGGTCCTTTCACTGAAAGCATGCTGACAACAAACCCCAACACACATGCAGCCAGAGGAGGACCACAGGCGCTCCCGGATCGCGGGGCATGTCGCTGTGGAGCCAGCTTTGGCGCACGCTGACGTCTGAGCGACCCTGGGAAGGGTCCAGCTGTGGAAGAAAAGCCACTTACGAAACTCGCGAAGAGCTGGTCGCTGATGTAGCGGTGCACCCTCTCGAACTGCTCCAGGTCTCGGTGTCCGCGCTCCACGCACACGTCCCACATGCTAACGGCAGCCACCACCTTCACACACGCCGACTCCTGGGGCCGGCGGGAACGGACACCGGTCAGAGTGGGCAGCCGTCCCGGCCCTCCGCCCGTCCCACGGCACCCAGGACCCACGGGCTCCCCGACCGGGAGGGTCCTCTCTTAGTATTGCAGCTCCGAGACAAGCACACTCTCGCACACTGGAATTTACGAGGAGGTGAGAATGATCCAAGACTTCTAACAACAGACAGACTGGAGGGGGCTCTTATCAAGTCTTATATTTCTCTGTGTCCCCAGCGGGAGGGGAGAGCAGACGGTAAAGAGAGTGTGCGCGGGCCACCTGAACACAAACACAGCAGGGCTTCCCAATGCTGCTCAGCTTTTAAGTGGACTACAGAAATCCCCATGAACAGCGTGTGGCGCCCGACGGACCCCGAGTCCAGATTCCTGGGCACGCCGGAGCACGACGCCCACACCCACCCGAATGTGCTGGAGGTAGAGGGACAGGTCTCGGATGAAGGACTTGATCAGGCGTTCTTGCATTCGGAAGTTCTTCTCTGCTTCTTCAAAGACTTCGTCTTTTATCTGTTCAGAACACACAGGTGCTGTCGGCAAACGGGGACTCTCCCTCCAGCCGGCCTTTCTGGCAAAAGTAGCTTTCTTAGAAGCATCGCAGCCGGGCACAGTGGCTCACGCCCGTCATCCCAGCTCTTTGGGAGGCCGAGGTGAGAGGATTGCCTGAGCCCTGCGACTGGAGGCCCGCCTGGGCAACTCGGCGAGACCTCGTCTCTACGATAAATGAAAAAATCAGCCGGGTGTGGTAGCGCGCGCCTGAAGTTCCAGCCGCTTGGAAGGCTGAGGCGGGAGCGCCGGAGCCCAGCAGGTCGAGGCTGGCGCGCGCCACTGTGCTCCAGTCCAGGCGAGAGAGTGAGATTCCGACTCAAAAACAAAACAAGCAAAAAACATCATCAGTGCAAATATTAAACCTGTGATGTTTCCCTGAGTCATACTGAATTAATTTAAACACTTGAACAGCTTTTTTTTCCCAGTCAGGGTCTCACTCTATTGCCCAGGCGGGAGTGAAGTGACACAATCGCAGTTTACTGCAGCCTTGACCTTCCTGGGCTCAGGCGATCCTCCTGCCTCAGTCTCCCGAGTAGCTGGGGCTCCAGGCGCGCGCCACCATACCCAGATAATTTTTTAATATTTGTAGAGAGGTCTCGCTGTGTTGCCCAGACTGATCTCGAAATCCTTGGCTCGGCCTCCCAAAGTGCTGGGATTATAAGTGGGAGCCACCACGCCTAGCTTGCACATGGCTTTGAAAGGCCTCCAAAGTACATGCAGTCTCCAGCCTCCCCTTCTGCTCCTGATGCAAATCCTCAGCTTCAGCCAGGATGCCCCGTACTGCCACGTCGGCTGACTGGGGGCCGTCCCGCGTGTGGCTCCCCTGCCTGGTGGGCCCCCACTCCGCGCCGCGCCTGCCCCTCCCTCGAGGGCTCTGTATAATGCCAGGCCAGCATGAAGCTCACATTTTCCTAACAACGACTGCATTTACAGGGCAAAGTGCCAGCTCGGCGGGTGGCGGGGCAGGCCTACCTGGGGCGCCAGGCCGGTGAGGTGCTTCAGGTGGCTGCTGACCCGGCTGGACTTCTTGAGGATGGAGTGGAGGCTCAGCTTGGAGATCTTCTCCCTGAGGCTGTCTTCGTCGCCCTTGCGGTACTTGAGGACTAGGGAGAGAGTCGAGCCGGGAGTCAGACGCGCCATCCTGAGCGCGGACCTCCGAGTGAGAACGGCCCCCCGCCGGCGCGCGTGCCTGTCTGCAGCGAGCCGCGACAAGACGGGGCTCCAGACAGGCATCCACGGACGACACGAGGCCCGCCGCACCACGGGAGAGACCGAGGCCGGGAGGAGGGTGGCGGGTAGGGGGAGGAGGCACAGCGCCTCAAGCCGAGGACGCCCGAGCCCCTGCCCGGCCCGTCAGTAACCAGGACGGCCTGACGTGAGTCACCTTGATCCCACCCTCCTCTTCAGTGAAGATGCAGAAAGCAGTGACGCCTGCCCCATAAGACCCCGCAACGGTCTCACACAGAAGGGAGGAACTCGTATCCAAGGTCTCACTCAGTAAAGCGCGGCACAGCCATTTTCTGATCAACTACGAGGTCAGACCTGAGGCACAGTCTGCAAAAAGGCCTCGCGATCAAAGCCGAAGGGCCGCGGGGAAGACTGGTGGCAGCAAAAAGGCACACTTGGTCGGAGAAGAGGAAAGCTACACTACATCAGGAAATACGAGCTGACCGGGCACGGTGGCTCACGCCTGCAATCTCAACACTTTGCGAGGCCAAGGCAGGAGGACTGCTTAGCCCAGGAGTTCAAGGCCAGCCTGAGCTACACAGCAAGACCGTGACTCTACAAAAAAAAAAAATCAGCCGGGCTCGGTGACTCAGCCTGTAATCCTGCGCTTTGAGAGGCTGAGGTGAGTGGATTGCCTGAGCCCGTGGGTTCGAGACCCGCCCGGCCAACTTGGCGAGACCTCATCTCTACAATAAATCAAAAATGAGCCGGGCGTGGTAGCGCGCGCCTGTAGTTCCAGCTACTCGGAAGGCTGAGGCGGACGGATCGCCGGAGCCCAGCGGGTCGAGGCTGCGGTGGCCGGGAGCGGCCGCTGCACTCCAGTCTGGGCGACCGAGTGAGACTCCAACTCAAAAAAAAAAAAAAATCAGCCAGGCGTGGTGGTGTGTGCCTATAGCACCAGCCACTCGGGAGGCTGAGGCAGAAGGATCCTGAGCCCCGGAGGTCGAGACTGCAGTGAGCCACTACACTCCAGCGTGGGCAACAGAGTGAGACCCTGACTCAAAAAAATAAAAAATGAACCAAGGGCAGGCCCAGATGGCCAGAGCTTTCCAAGCCGTAGTCACCATCCCGTCCCAACGTGGGTCACACAGATGAAACAGCAGGCAGAGAAAACGATTTTAGGTGAAGCGTGGAGAAGAATGGGGAGACAGAGCGGTCGTGCCCTATGGCAGGTTTTGTGAGGAGAGGTGCAAGCCAGCTCGGCACGGCCAGCTGCCACACGCGAGTGCTCCAATCAGGGCGCGGGAAGACAGCGATGGGCAGCTCTCGAGCACAAAGGGGGTGGGCGGGAGCTGACCCTGCGGTTCTGGGAGGACACTGGGGCCGGGCAGGAAGAAAGGAGCCTAAAGACACGGGCAAGCTGGGGCTTCCTAAAGAGGACAGGAAGCCCGACTTTGGCGGGGGCGGAAGACACCCACGTCGACATGCAGAGAGAGACCTCGGCGTGGACGGGGCAGGGGCGCCGTGGACGAGCTGCCAAGGGCCCCGCGAGCCTGAAGGGCTCTTCTGACCAGCCATCTCTGACCTGCCTTCTGGCCTTCCTACCCCGGGGGCTCTCCCTGCTGCCGGCTCTGTCGCGGCGCCTGACTTCCAGCACCCTGGGGGCTCCTACTGTGACTTCTGCCTTCTCCCTGTCCCCGCTGGATCCTCCCAGGCCCTTCCCCAGGGCTGCTGCACCAGCACCTGCCCGTCCAGCCCCTGGACGAGCTGAGGAGGAGCGCGCTTCCTCTCCAGCGAGGCTCTCACCCAGGTCCTTCCGCCGCTTATACTCGTTGATGTTGACGTTGATCTCCTTGACCGCCAGGACGGCGCTGGCGAGAGGCACCTTGTCAGGGTGGGACTCCGGGGTGGAGTTCAGCAGCTCCATGAGCAACAGCGGGTAGCGCATCACCCTCTGTACGGGCTTGATGAGGAAGGAGCCCAGGTTGATGTAGTTCGTGCATCCCCTGAGAGTGAAGGAAAAAAGACTTTCATCGGCTACCAACACAGTGCCTGTGGGCAGGGCCTGTCATGCCTAAATAAAGCTCTGAGGCCCATGCGGAGGCACACACCTGCCATCTCAGCACTTTGGGAGGTAGAGGTGAGAGGACTGCCTGAGCCCAAGGGTTCAAGACCAGCCTGGGCAACTGGGCAAGACCCTGTCTCTTTAACAAATCAAAAAATTAGCTGGGCATGGTGGCTCACGCCTGTCATCCCTGCAATTTGGGAGGTGGAGGCGAGAGCTAAGCCCAGGGGTTCAAGATCAGCCTGGGCGACTTGACAAGACCCTGTCTCCATGATAAATCAAAAAATCAGCCAGGCATAGTGGTTCATGCCTCTAATACCAGCAATTTGGAGGTAGAGGTGAAAGGATTGCCTGAGCCCAGGGGTCTGCCTGGGCAACTTGGCGAGACCCGGTACCCAGTCTACAATAAATCAAAAATTAGCCAGGTGTGGTGGTATGTGCCTGTAGGTCCAGCTACTTGGAAGGCTGAGGCCAAAGGATCGCCTGAGCCCGGCAGGTCGAGGCTGTGGTGGCCATGAATGTGCCCCTGTCCTCCAGCCTGGGGACAGAGTAAGACTCTGACTCAAATAAGTAAATGTAGTTCTTTTCTTTTTCTTTTTTTTTTTTTTTGAGTTGGAGTCTCACTCTGTCGCCCAGACTG